ATTTTTTTATATTGATATTTTTAATTTTTCAAAGGAAAAGGGTAGCCCATAGATAGTTTTAATTTTTTTTGCTGGATTAAATGTTATGTATAGTTCCACACTTCCCTAACTAAGTTGAAAGTAGTTAAGAAAATATAAAAATATTTTACTATGCATGTTCTCCTTTGCAATTAATTACAATCTTATGGAATTTAAAAATACTCAGTGATTGCAGTCCTCCAAATTCTGATTGCACAATCAAAACAGTTTGTTTAAGAAAAAGAAATTTCCATGGCTGTGAATATAAAAATGATAACTAATAATGAGAATAATCCAATAACCAAAAAAACTTAATTATTTCTAGTAGTCTAAGATTGACAGGAGAAAATTAGTTTGCAGATGGAGATCAAAGAGAAACAAATTTGAAACTTTAAATTTGTTCAAAGATAACATTACTGCTGGTGTTTGACTAAAATACCAAATGAATAAATAAGTAAAGCCTACAATATGTCAGAGATAAATGCTAACAAGGAAATTAAGCAGGTTAGAGGGATAGGGAATTTGGGAAATAGAATGGGGAAGTTGCTATTAGCATGGAATGAGTTTTTTATCCCTAGAAATATATATGTATTGGAGAGACACCTTATATACTTTCTTGAAGTACTGTTAAAAGTATCCTTTCATATATGTAATACCTTAATCAATAAAGAAAAATTTTTTAAAAAGTTAAAAAAAAAAGATCATAGTGAAATGATTCTAGGTAACATTGTACCATAATATAAAGCTATAGTCAATATTGAACTCTTCTTCCGATTAGAAATTACATTTATTTTTGCCATATGATTCCTTTAGCTAAAAATTTTCTAAATTTTGCATTCTTGGTTATTTATGAAGTGCTCAATTACTTTCTAAAAGAAAATCATATTTTTTTGTTAAGAGAATTACAGAATCACAAAAATAAAAAAATCTCAGAAACAAACAAAAGAAAATTAAATGATAAAAAAGTATCCTTTCAGAGGCACGAAGGCTGCTGCCTGATTCCCCCCTGGGAGCCCTGCTGTCTTAGTGTGGCTCCCATGCTAGGGAGCTCATCCCATCCAAGATGACCCACGCCCTCTTTCCTCACAGCCCAGACCTCCTGCTGGAGTTAAGGAACCAGAGAATGTCTACGCAATAACCTTTTCCACTATTCAAGATAAGTTTCTTGGGGCTAAGGAAAGAGTTATTTTTTGTGTCTTAATTTTCCCAATTAAAGAAGTCAGACTGTTGATAGAGATCAATGTTAGGAAACTTGTGAAGAGATTAGGAGCCTCTGAGACCCCTGGAACTTGCACACTCCCCACTAGGAGAACCTGTTATAAGCATTCTCAGTTAAGAGTAGACTGCGGTTAGACTAATGGCTTCCAAATCCTGGCTCTACAATTTCCTGGCTGTGTTTCTTTGGGAAAGTTGCTTCACCTCTCTGTGCATCAGTTTCCCATGTAAACTGGATATAATTATTTCCCTGGCACATAATATAAGCTCCACGCATATCAGTAATTAGAAGTCCACAAATCCTTATCTGAAATTTTGTAAATTTAATAGGGTAACTATTCCATCAATATAAAATTCCAGGCAAATCTGGTGCAGCACTCCATGACCAAACATATTAATATTGCTACAATAAAACATACTAACATTTGTATGAAGTGAGATAAAGACTACAAATAGCTTCACGTCAGTTCAGGTCATGATCTGCTACCAAGTTTTTGACATTAAAATCTTTTGGTTTTCAGAACTTTTTGGATTTCAATAGAGATGGTGGACCTATATATTAAGTAAGGGGTAAAACCTACTGAAGTCTATTTTTCCTTTCTAACTTCTGGATATGCTAATGACCAAATAAATAGTCAAAACCATTTAAGAGTAGAAAGTAGGAAGCCCTTTAGGCATGGAAAATCCACACTGCATAACTAATCGATCCCCAAAATTAGTCTAAACAACCTGTGCCCCCCAATACAGTGTGCCATAAGATTCTCAGTCAACCAAATCATTTCCACGAACAACCAGTCTCTAACAATCTTTAAGGGTTTTTTTTCAAGTAATTTTTGAACATAGGGTAAAATACCCAAGTTTACCACTTTTTAATAGCATGATTTATCTTTCCCATAGGAAAAAAAAGACAAGCTATTAAATGAGAAATAATTGACTTAAAAGCATGTACCTTAAAAGAATAGTGTCCTCTGTAGTCAGCCTAGGGGAGATAAATAAGCATTATGCCAAAGTGGTAAACTATCCTGCTTCCAAAGGAATTTTCTCCACATTGCATTTTAAGGAAATATTTGCAGCTCTTGAAGAGATATACAATAACTCATTCAAGATGGTCTCACTGCTGGTCCGCGCTGGATAAAAGACTTCCACAAACCCATGGAAGCCAACTTCTTCTGCCTATTACCCCTGTTTGTTATTTATCTTCCCCAACTTTTTTGACCCCTTTCCATTTATTTTATACTGAAGCATTGCTTTGTTCAAGACCTAGGGTTTACCACCCCCATGATGATCCATACACAAAGACAAGTCAGGAAGACATGAAAAGAATGGAGATACTTATGTTGCTTCGTGGTTTTTCCCCCCTTCTCATTATCCTCCTACTCAATAAGACTGTGGTGGGAGGTCTGAATGACATTTCCAAACTGAGAACTTAAAGCTACATTTCAACACCCAACCCCTCAGTTGTCATAGGAACAACACTATGAGGCTTATCTAGGTTCTAACAAACACCCACTTGTTTTGCTAGCAATTAAAGCTCCCCCTTCCAATCAAGTATATAAACACATACATATACATACCTTGAAAAATTGGGCAAAAAGGTATACCACATAAAAAATGTAAGAAACAAGCCCAAAGGGAAAGCATTTCTATTTCTGATTATAAAAATACCAAATACAATTTGGGAGAAACTAATTTGAGTTCTGTCACTTGACCAGATTCCTTTTAGTTTGTATCTTTACATACCCATAAAGACAAAGACACATGCACAATGTTTACAGAGTATACACAATATTAATACTTTCAATAACACCAGTGGAGAATTCAGGACAATGCCATGTTATTTATTTTTCATATATTTTTGTAAATAACAGCACAGCAAACAGAACTGAAATCATGAAGATCTAAAAGAATTATTCTGGAAAATACTTTCCAGCATTTACTGTTTCAGCCTGCTTCTATCGTTTTTTGTTTTTGTTTTTTCATTCATGACAATGGATTCTAAATGGATGAGTCAAATCTACAAATTATATAGAGGCTTTTTTCCCATTAAGCATGGCAGCCTTTAGCTAGATTGTTAAATCATCATATTTTGCCCAAGTAGTTACATGAAATAGAGCTGAAAATACTTGTGAATCACTGAATACAACTAGCAGTTGGATGTAAATTACCTGTCAATATCTTAATTCTTCATCACCATTTTTCGGTCTTCAAGACTCTAAAACCTATAAATTCATGTGCTTCAAGGAAATGAGTAGACTTTTTCCACATCTTCAGCCACACCTTAAGTCAAATAATTGTAATATTCACACTTGCATCATCGATCTGATTTATTGGAGGTCCTGCCCCTAAAAGCCATGCTTATCTTGCTTTTTGTCTATGTCTTTGAAAGCTGTTTGAGAATAATAATCTTTAACATTCTCAAGTTGTGAAAGAAAAAATACCAATTAATATATCCCCATGGATTCATTTCCCTCTCCTCCACCCTCATCCCACGCTAGTGCCAGTGCCAGAGAGAACTACAGCATTGCTAGCCTGCATTTTATTATACATTTTTCATTTCAAGTTATGAATTTTAAGATTTTGAAAGCAACAGAATGGGAACCAAGTCAGAAATGCAGCTTCAACCTTCAATTTGGCTGAAGATACCGAAAACAAAATAAATAATATGATATCCTATATAACCCAAAATGCACAACTCTGATAACAGCTATAATTCTATGAATTCACAATTATATAGGGAGATCACCAAAGTTACCTATATTGTTGCTAACAGTTAAAGAACAATTTTCTATCTGATTTTATAAATATATCACATGACTGCTTCTATTGACCATTAATAAACTGGTAAAATCAGGTAGTCACCCACCATTCTAATAGTATTTTCTTATTCTATTCAACTTTTCCAGCAAAAATAATTCTTAAAAAGCCAAGAAAAGAAATCAGACATTCATGCCTAATATAAACTTGTTTCCTTAGAGTTCACAAACACGAACCTACTGTAGAGAACACAGGTATTCAAAGCTTTATTGTATTCTTCTGGACAACTTAAACACAAAGGAAGTTCAGATTCAAGATTAGAAAACAATGTAAAAGTTTTGGAGAAAGATAGACAGGCTCACCAGTAAGAATTGCTCATCAGGGCCTTTCAAAGTGTAACGGACCATATGGAAAAAACTACTTTTTTGCTATATTAATGGAATCAAATAGAACAATCTTAAAATTCACGATACAAATGTAAAAAAAATCTATTATCATCTTAATCTGCCTTTCATAATCAGTAAGAAATGTTTCTAATGCATCACTTAAACTTTCATTTTGTGGAGTTCTAACTAAATATTTGACATCCTTAGGTAGAGGGATGGAAAAAGGAGGGCAAGTTGCCTAATTATAAAAGCGTTCTTCCAAAAATCATACATACTATCCATACTAAATGGAAATCTACATCCATGGAAGTTAATGCTACAGTGTTACCAAATAACCCATTTTGATTCCCCCCATTATTAAAAAGGAAAAGGTAAAAAGGGGGGAGAGCCAAACTAGTTGTATTACATATATTTGCCTAAACTGGCAATGCTCAGTTAAACTTTGTTAATTACCTGGCTGCTTCTCAGCCTTCATGCTATATTCTTGGGCTGCTACTTTTTCGAATTCCTCACTCTGTTTATGGGTTCTGTGGTTCCATACAGTTGTTAGGGATCTGTGAACAATTTCACAATTCCCCCACACACCATATGATATCTATTAGGGAGCAATGCCATTTTTCAACTTACCAATTCTGGATAAAGCAGTATTTCCTGGTGACAGAATGCTGCTTCTGTTCGCTACAACTCCCTCTTCACAGCTTGATAAATCTGATTATATAATGTCTTTGTTCCAGATCACACGAGGTGCTTTCCTACAAAAGTTTTCTAAAGGGTTATCTGCATTTCATTCCTGTGACAAAACGAATAAGAACAAGGGGTGGGGGGAGACAGGGAGTAAGTCCACACAAGTTCCTGGCAAAGACTTTTAGTTGCATTTTTCTGAGTTTAATCAGTAAGCTCTATTAAAGTGACAGTTACCAGTTCAGGAAGCCAGAGTTTGATCAAGTCAGCCACCACCCGTTGGGTGTCTTCCACTGATGCACGGACTCCAAGCAAGCAGTCACTTGGTCATCTATCACATGTGGCTGAATCACTGGACACCCGTCCCTCTCCACCCTCTGGCGCCCATTGAGTAGCAGCCCAGGCAGGAGAGTGGCCTGACTCCAGAAGTGGGACCTCTTATAGGGACCCGCCAATTAGCTGCTGACCAATCACAGGCGGCACCTAGTACCCAAGTCACATGACAGGGCAGTCCCTCTGACTGCAGGATTTCTGAATTACTGGGGTTATACAAAGGACACTCATTCAGGAAAAGAGAGGGGGGGAAAAGCCATAAGCCGAAACAGAAAACGCCCAGGCTGAGACAACTCCGGCTTTTAAACAGGCAACACCCAAGCCTCACACAGACAGATAGCCACAACCAAATCAGGATGGAAATCAGAGGAATGCCTGGCACATATTAAAAAACAATCCCAAAGCAGAGACTGAGTTTACAAAGCCACTTCAGCTATAAGTCTACTCCTCCTTACCCTTCCTCTACAGTCTCTGTGACAATTTTACATTCTCAATTATTTTTAAAAGCTCTGGTAAGCCTCTGCAAAGCCATTGCAAGAAAAATGTATGAGACACATGAACCTCTTCTCTCCTCATTCTCTCAAAATACCCCTAAAGGATATTCAGAGTTTGCCATGAAAACGTTTCATAAATGGTTGGGTAAATCAGGGAAAATTAAACATTGTTAAGACAAATTCGTATGGTAATAATATACCATATAATATACCAAATAATATACCTCTTACACCCGCCCTTTTTCATGCAATCATTTTAGACTGTTCACATCAAGTTCCTTCTTGTTAAGGAAATGAGTCCCCCTTATTTATTTTAACACCATTAATTTATTTCTTAAATATTTCTTATGTCCTAGGAAAAATTCAATTGTGAACACCCCTACCATTTCTCTGACACAAGCCCCCTCCCCCAATCCCACCCCACCCCAGATGGTACTTACAAACGTTCTTTGTTAGGGTCTATCAGTTTCTTCCTATCCCCAACATCCCAAGGCAAAATATGGGCTCAGCTTCATCCTTTAAACCTAAAGGCCCTATTTTGATTGTGCAAGGCTGCAACAGCTCCTTCCCTGAGACAAGCCCAGAACACTGTGCTGCTTGCCATTCCCAATTTATGGAAGGAAGCGTATGTCAAACAAACCAGGTGATGAGTCAGACTGCCTCCCCCAGACACATTTTCCCTAGAAGGGGAGGGTAGTGTAAGTGCAGACCATTTGGATGTGACTCAGTTTTATTAGACTGGGGATTGTAGTTAATCTGACAAGCTCACATTTTTCTTTTATAACTTGGACATTTTAGGAGCAGAATGCACTTTCTACATGGTTTCAAAGAACTGGATCATGTAAACGAGGAAGTTCAAGTGATTACTTTGAAGGTAGAGCAAGTTTTGGGTTCTATTCCCCAATATTGAAAGCTTCAGAATTATTTGTTGAGAACGTTACAACCGAGGCAACCAAACATTTGAGTTTACATGACAGCAGTAACAGATTGTATACGTGTAGGTCTACTGGAGACTTTTTACCATGGAGGACTCTTTCTGTCCTGAGACCCCAGTTTAAGTCTCTAAGTCTGGGGCTCATGTGGCAGGTTCTTCAGGAAGTGGTGGGGAACATAACAGTCATGTTGCAGCTTTCACTTTTGCATTTACTGCAATGCACATTCTAAATGGAGCTACTCACACGCTAGCACACATGAAATATAACCACATCACACACACACACACACACACACACACACATCTGTACAGTCCTTTAATTCCAACTTGCCTAAAAGCAGCAACATAAAAACTTGAAAACCATCATAATGTCATCTGTGAAGGTTCAAATTAAATAAGTTGACATGCCTAAAAGGCTTCCTCTTCAGTTAAAAGTTTACTACCAAGATGGGGGTGGCATTACATGGAATAAATGGTTCCCAGGTATTAAACAGACAGGAAGAATGCAGTAAGAAGAAGTACAAGTCCCCACACAAGAAATCTGGAAGGCTCGATTTGAGCAGTTTAACTGCAGTTGTCTCTTTTCAGCATACTTCCTTTAACCTTGAGCAAAGTCAGCAACTGCTTGGATGATACCTTAATGTGTAATTAATTTTGTTATTTAACATATAAAAAATGCTCAAATACCTAATTTTCAAATTGGTAGAAGAGGACAGAGAAAAGGTATATACTCCGAGACAGTGAAAAACAGCTAAATCGGGAGTTGACTATTCACTTTACCGAAAGATTCCCTTTAGGGTTTTACTGGAACGCACCCCCCCCCCCCCATAAAGCTTCCTCCCAGTCACCACTCCTGTCCCCAGGCAATCTCCACATGATCCAACTGTGTCAAGTTCTCATAAACCAGAACTACAGGTAACGATGCAGACAGACAGCCTGGGTTCCAATACTGGCTCTGGGAGGGACTTGGGAAAGTCATTTTATTTCATCAAGGCTTTTGTTTAATCTGAAGAATGGGAATGAGAAAATACAAGGAAGGAACAGAAATCACTGCCACAGTAATGTCTGCCACCACCATTGGCTCACGAAGGGTCAGCTGCCTCCCTCAAAACCAATCTTGCAACTCCTCGGGCTGGGGAGAACCTTGTTCACTCGAGGACTGACAAAGTGACTAATCATGTATGTTTTACAATGACCAAAACTATTTGGATAGCTGCTAGATTCATTGTTTTATTAAAACAAGGTATCTTACTTTGAGATCAGATGATTAGTTTTGTCTACAGTATATGTGAGATTCCCAATATTAGAAAATTTTCATAGAAACATAACTATGCAGCCATATGTATGCCTCTATAGACATACACACAAACTGTGTCTAGACTTACATAAGACAATCTGAACATTGCTTTTATGAGACCTTGCCTCTGTTCCAGCCTTTTCATGTTATATAAGCAGCCACTTTACCCGTCTTCCTGCAGTGATTTCAGATCTAAGGAGTATACTGCCCTCAGAGAAGTTTTATTAGTTGTCTTCTTTCCCCACCCATTTTAAAGAACGAACTGACTCAGTTTTTTTGATGGCAACTGGGTGGGAGTGAATCTGGGAGTGGGCAGGGTGGGAGAAAGGGAGGAGGAGGAAGAGGAGGTGGTGGGAGCCAAGAGCTGAATCATAGCCATGTGAGTAATCTTAGCCTTTTTTTTTTTCTTCCTAAGGGCATGAATCAAATTAAGCTTGTTTTGCTGTGGGTGAAGGAAGAGGAATATAATAGCATGAATCAGAGCAATTATCAAATATGCGGCACTTACTAAAAATTAATTACAATCACTGCCTTTTCTTACATGTCTGCCAAAAAATGCCAGAGAGCTTTTGTTCATCAATATAATCCTTTACAAAAATTCTTAAGTTTGAACTTGATTCTCACCCTCTTTCCTTTAAAAATTTCCTTTTACACATAAATTTCAGAAACAGGAATCATTTTGGAGCTTCTGTGAGATAATCTTTGGCCTTTGGAGATAAGTGTGAAAACCACATGGCACATATGGGGTAGAGACCAGGTTACAAACTATCCAGCCATGAGCTCTGGAAACAAAATACTGAGTTTCTGAAAACAATTGCTCAGAAATGAGTTTAATCTCTCAAAGGCATTCCAACAAGCCTTCAGGGGAAAGTGGGCATTCCTTTCAGAATAGTTTTCAGTGACAATAAAAACTTTCGAACTACTTTATACTGAAATAAATTAATCCTCATCAATTTGAGAATTTATTAGGAGTAATCCTAAGAAAGAGATGGATCAAAACATAAAATCATTATTTTGGAACTTACATAGAGAACAAGGACATAGCTCAGTTATTTGTAGGCAGGGCACATATCTAACCAACTTATATAAAGGCACTTCCTTTTCTGCCATATTTTTTTAACCCAATCTATTTAGTATTTTGTGGAATATAAATATTACCATGGGGGAGAAACTGGCTATCTAAAGAGAAAGGCTAGGTCGACCAAATATTTTCTACTCCCAGACAAGTCTGTGCATTAGGAAGTCAAGAGGGCATATTTTGAGCTCTAGTGACACATTTACATTTTTTACTGCACCAACAAGCTAAAATGCATGGTCCCTTTTGTTCTTTTGTTATCTACCTGTGGTGTTTTTCCTTTTAAACATGGGTATGGATGTTCTGTAGATAGACAGACGCTAGCAATGAACTTAGTACCCTTACAGAATATTCCACACACAAGAGCTCAAGGACAATAGTGTCTTAACACACTGTTAGGTTTTCCAAAATTCGTTTTTTTGGGGGGGATGGTGTTTTACTTGTTTTTTTGCATGCTACAACAATCTTTATAGGGGACTCCAGATAAATTATTTCAAGAGCACTCTGAATAAGCAAAAGCTTTTAATTTTTCCATGTCTATGTGTTCCACAATTTGGAAATTGTAATCTGTGATGACAAGTTTTTTAGGGATGACAATTTGTATCCCAGGTTTAACTATTTCCAAATCTGCCTATATACCATTAATATTTTGGTGATTTTAGTCAAGATATATTTACATAATCTACAGATATATCAATATCGAGTTTATATAAAATGAGCCAGATCTGTTTTCAGACTAAGTGACTTGGATTTCTCTACCCTGAGCCCACAAGTTCCTTGCCATGCAACCTCAGCCAAGTTAATGGCATTAACTTGTATTTAACTTTCTACCTTTCAAGTCACTACACTCCCTATTTAGAATCTCTAGTTTCTTTTGTAGTAGAAATAATATTGCCAAACCCAATTTTGTCACACCCTCACCTGTGTCTATTGCAAGAGGCTAGAGGTGTAAAGAAAATTTCAATACATATTTTAG